CAGTGCTCTCTGATGTTGGTGGTTTTCTTCCAGACTAGCACTGAGGATGCGAACACTGATGATGTTACCTAGTTTGGTAATGAAACATCTGCAAGAAAAATCACCAAGCTGGGCTATAAGCCGGCTGGGGAATTCTGGCAGTTGAAGCCCGCTCATCGTCAAGTTGCTAAGGTTGAGGAACACGGTTCTCCATACTCCTATCTTTTTCTCTTGTGTCTTTTTCTCCTGCTCTTTGTTTTAAGAATTTCAACAAATGTAAGCCACCGGCAGTTGCCGGGAATCAGGCAGCACGTAAATGTAATCAATTAATTATGGCCGGTCACGCTGTCAGCCAGATGTTCCGATTGGATCTGGCAGTTTTTATCCCTCTCTCGAGCCCTTCCCAAAGACCTGGGATAGGCAGATGTAGATGTTGGATGGTGTTTAAAGGGATGGTGGCCGGATGTAAGCCGTTCCAAACAACCCTACTGCCTTTTGTAATTGACTGACGGGGATGGTGTCCATGCCGGTGGTGTTCAAGTGGTGCTCCAGATGTTTTGGGGTTTGCGCCCAAGGCAGCTGTGATTTTGGGGACCCCCTTTGCTCTCTTTGGTCACAGTTGTTCCATTTCTATCTGGAAGGCAAGCGCCCTCGGGATGTGCCGCGGGGCGCAACCAGCCAGAATCTGGAATTGGAGGAACCGCAGCGCCACCTTGTGATGGCTGTCAGAATGTCACCGTAGGAGTCCTTGAGACGAGCCAAGGTTGAGGAACGTTGTTGTATCTAGCGAGGACCACCACGTCCAGAGGGGATGGACAATCTCTCTATTTGGGCCAGAATTATCCCCTTTAGCTGGCAGGAATAGCCAACACTCCAGAAGACAGGCTTAGGATACAGGAGGATCTGGACAGACTTGAACACTGGGCACTATCTAACAAAATGAAATTCAATGGTGAAAAAAGTAAGGTTCTACATTTAGGCAAGAAAAACCAAATGCACAGGTATAGTATAGGGGGTACCTTGCTCAATAGTAGTAACTGCGAGAGGGACCTCGGAGTCCTAGTGGACGATCCCTTAAATAGGAGCCAGCCGTGTGCTGCAGCTGCCAAAAAGGCCAACACAGTGCTGGGCTGCATTAACAGAGGGATAGAATCAAGATCACGTGAAGTATTAATACCACTTTACAATGCCTTGGTGAGGCCACACTTGGAATACTGCATCCAGTTTTGGTCACCGGGATGTAAAAAAGATGTTGAGACTCTAGAAAGAGTGCAGAGAAGAGCAACAAAGATGATCAGGGGGCTGGAGGCTAAAGCATATAAGGAAAGGCTGCTGGAATTGGGTATGTCTAGTTTAATGAAGAGAAGGACGAGGGGGGACAGGATAGCAGTCTTCCAGTATCTCAGGGGCTGCCACAAAGAAGAGGGAGTCAAGCTATTCTCCAAAGCCCCTGAAGGCAGGACAAGAAGCAACGGATGGAAACTAAATCAAGGAGAGAAGCAACCTAGAATTAAGGAGAAACTTCCTGACAGTGAGGACAATTAACCATTGGAACAACCTGCCTCCAGAAGCGGTGAATGCTCCAACACTGGAAGTTTTTAAGAAGAGACTGGACAGCCGTTTGTCTGAAATGGTATAGGGTTTCCTGCCTGAGCAGGAGGTTGGACTAGATGACCTCTGAGGTCCCTTCCAACTTTATCATTATTATTATTATTTATTATGGAGTTGTCTTCATTGAAATTCTTGGGAATTGCAGGGAGAGGCTTTCGCTGCAAGATACACACGTTTGTTTTGAAATAAATCCACAAGTAGTTGCTGCCTTAATCCTCCTGACTTAGCAAGCTGGAGGGAAGAGTCTCTATTTCTCTCTCTCTGGTGGATCTGGAGAGCAGGGTTCCTTCCCCATTTCAAGAGGGTTGGATTTCAACTCCCAGAGTTCCTCAGCCAGCAGAATCAGACATTTTGTTCCAAAGATCGTAGGTTGCCTATCTCAGGGACCGCTTCCTTCTTTGTGGTTTTGCACACGGGGTGCGTTCTTCTTTGTTTCACACCTTAGCGCTGCTCCTGAGAGGGTTTGTGCGGCTTTGGAGTCTTTCAAGGGGCTGTTTCATTGCCTTCTGAAGTAGGATGGGTAAATGCACGGGAGCGAACGGAGCTTACGGCTTCTTTTGAAAGTCTGTTTGGTTAGAAAAGAATATTTTGTAGCTCAGGGTGGAATTTGGGGGTCCCTGGTGCTCTCTGAACTTGGTGGTTCTCTTGCAGACGTCTCGTGACCCAACTAGGTAACGTCATCAGTGATAGTAGGGAGTGGGGTTTGCAGGGAGGAGGAGCAGGAGGAGGAGGAGGAGGATTGTGGGGTCCTTGGTGCTCTCTGAGCTTGGTGGTTTTCTTGCAAATGTTTCATGACCCAACTAGGTAACATAATCAGTGCTAGATAGGAGTGGGGTTTGTGGCGAGGAGAAGGAGAAGGAGAGTCCTAGATGCTCTCTGAGCTTGGTGGTTTTCTTGCAGACATCTCATGACCCAACTAGGTAACATCATCAGTGCTAGAAGGGAGAGGAGGAAAAGGAGGAGGAGGACTGTTGAGTCCTTGATGCTCTCTGAACTTGGTGGTTTTCTTGCAGACGTCTCATGACCCAACTAGGTAACATCATCAGTGCTGATCTGCAAGAAAACCACCAAACTCAGAACCAATGATGCTACAGTCCTCCTCCTCCTCCTCCTCCTCCTCCTCCTCCTCCTCCTCCTCCTAGCAAACCCTACACTCCCTTCTAGCATTGATAATGTCACTTAGTTGAGTTATGAAACATCTGCAAACCCCACCAAGCTTAGGAAGCACCAAGGACCCCACAGTCGTCGTCGTCCTCCTCCTCCACCTCCTCCTCTTCCTCCTCCTCCTCCAATCCTCCTTTCTGGCACTGATGAGCTTACCTAGTTGGGTCACAAAACATCTGCAGAAAAACCCACCCAGCTCAGAGAGCATCAAGGACCCCCACAGTTCAACTCCCGAGCTACAGATAATTCTCTTTGAAAATCCAGGTAGCTGCAACTTACATTTCTGTTTACGTAGCATTTGGAAACCCTGCTGAAAAGAAGATATTTTTTTTTTTTTTACCTTTAACCATCTGGGCACAACGGCATGATTCACTGGACTTCAGGGATGGCACGTCAAGCTCCGGGGTCCACTTACCCTGCCAGAGGCTTGTGAAATAAACCGTTGATTTGTATCTTGCGGTTCTCCTTTGCAGCTTCAACGTCTGTCCCCAGAACTGCTCCGGCAGAGGGGAATGTCGGCCCGTGAACGGCAGCCAAGCGGTTGAATGTGAGTGTTGGGAGCATTGGAAAGGAGAGGCCTGCGATATTCCCAATTGCCCAGAAGAGTGCGGCTTCCCTGAAAGGGGTCAGTGCAGCGTGAACGGAACTCAGGGCTGCATCTGTTACCCGGGCTGGCAAGGTAGGTAAAAACAATTCCCTTGCGATGAATTGCACAGCTGGGCAGTAGATCCGGGAGATGCTTTTTAACAGTGTTTGTTTCACTTTTTTTTTTTTTAGCCAAGTACTGTGTTTCCCAAAAAGTAAGGCCTATACCAGGGGTAGGCAACCTTGGCTCTTTTATGACTGGTGGACTTCAACTCCCAGAATTCCTGAGCCATCCATGCTGAGGGGAAAGGGAGAGGTTTCCAAGCTGAGCCATGCTGGCTCAGGAATTCTGGGAGTTGAAGTCCACGAGTCATAAAGGGGCCAGAGTTCCCCATGCTGGTTTAGGAATTCAGGGAGTTGGAGTCCACGAGTTAGAAAGCGGCCTAGGCCTAGGCCAGAGGTAGGCAACCTTGGGTCTTTTATGACTCGTGGACTTCAACTCCCAGAATTCCTGAGCCAGCCATGCTGAGGGGAAAGGGAGAGGTTTCCAAGCTGAGTCATGCTGGCTCAGGAATTCTGGGAGTTGAAGTCCAC